GGACTACTGACAGAGGGAGCACAATCTGACCAAAAAGAAAAAAACTATGACAACAATCTACTTTTTTTCATGTTGTAACAACCACAAATACAGTCTCAAACAAGGAAGAGACTACTCTCTGCCTTACAAAGGCAATTCAACACTTGTATGAGCAGCAAGTTGGAGTGGCTGGGTGCCAAAAACACTAGAGCACAATTGGCAGCACACAGATAATTAGTTGCCAAAGAAGCACAGGATGGATTGGGGGTGGACACAGAAATAGCCTCTTGCTTTGGACTGCACAGCTGGTGCACTCCCTGCACACAGGTCATATGATGGCTGCCACAAGAAAATCAAGCTTCCGCCAGGAGACATCACGCAGTGAGCCCCCAAATAAGCAAGTTATTTAAACTCATGCCTAACTTTCACTATGTGAGCAGTCCCAGTAAAGCACACGTGGGTAGTCAATTGGATTATTCATGTGCTTTAAGCCAAGAACAGGATAAAGTGCTTGCTGAACCCATTTCTTAGTTTCCACTCCAAACTGGCATCTCCTGTGGAAACTGTTGGCAAATGCTGACCTATAACAGGAGCCAATGTATTTTTTGAGCAGAGGCATTAGCTCTCCATTGCTGTGAAACCAGAATATTTCTTTAAAGTACTTTAAGTTCACAAAGTTCTTGAAAAGCATGACTTGGGCAATTCAGTGCATAAAGGTTCAGGGAACATTATAGCATTCACATTTCATGTGTCAGAACCACTAGGTTCATTTAGTAGCTCTTATACTGAAAATCACCAAAAAGAATATATTCTTAACTGGCATAACTGTCACTACAGCTCAAAACCGCATATCCTTCACCCTTTATCCATTTAGATGGTGCTACAGATGCAGACACTATATTTGTAAGAAATGTAAGTAGCAACATAACAGTAAGAAATTAACAGTAAGTCTTAACATTGCTTGAGCAAATAAAATACCTGAATTGCCAAAGAAAGGATCAGAGCTGTAATTAACACTGTATTTTCCTGTTTGCTAAACATGAATCATTCAGAGTAAAATTTAAGGCCCTAATAAAATTAGAGGATTACTTTAATACAAAAACATAGTTCTGCTTATTCAGGGATCTAAGTTTCATCACTCTATTTTGCTTAGTCTACCAGTCTTAATGGCATACTTTCCCCCTATAAAAGAAAAACAAATGGTGAATACCTGGTAGCCCAAACCCATAGCAGGTGAAGACTGTCACTACAGAGGTACAATACATACTACTTCACCTTCCTGGGGACCTTCAAAGTGCTCCCTATTTCAATGAAAATCCTGTCATCACTAACCCTCTTAGATACAGTTCATTGACCATAAGAACCAAGAACTCTTAAATTATTTTCAACATATATTTTGTTATCAACTAAGTCGCACATTAGCTCTAGAATAACTATTTCACAACATTCAGCTTGCAAATTTTTGGTGGTGTGTATTTAGTCCAAGCACAATTTCTGCAAAAAAAAAAAAAATTAACAAGGTTTTGGTTTAGTTTGTCAGCCAAAAAAGTCTCTTCCATAACTCAGGCCAAATGTCTTGGAAAAAGCAACAGTTACTATATACAATTAAACATGCCTTGGAGGAGAAAAGTATGCACTGACAATTTGTCATAATAATGTTTTACACTTCTGTATAGCTCTTCATCTTCAGGTCCTAAATTAAACAGTCACTGTTCACACTATTGAGTACTCAGCAGCCAAGCTCTGGCAAGTGGATCTTTCCATTTTCATGATGGAAATAAAACAAAGACCCAAATTCCATAAATCTAAGAAAGGGTTATATATTGGATGTGAATATAAAACGAAAGGTTAAGAAAGAGGAGAGTGTAACTCACTCTAATGTGTAATCCAACAATAGGGGATGAGCAAAATGAACAGAGTTTACAGGCTAATCAGGTTGCAACACAGCAAACATGAAGTCTTCAGCACCTTAGTCCTCAGCCCAGGTTCTCTCTTAAAACCAGCATTACAAACTACAAACAACAGCATAAACTGGCCTCATGTTTCCAGATGACTTCTATTTGGCCAGATTTCACCAAAGACACACATTGAGTGCAAAGTCCAAAATTACAGGAAATTAACTTGTGAAAAAGAGTAATTCTAAAAGTTCAAACCCTCTGAAAGAGGGGTTGGCTGGAATGAGCAGGAATCCTCCGTGCAATTCATCCTTCTACAGAACCTACAAAGGAATTCCCAGATGAAATCAGCATTAGAGCATCAGCAAAAGATTGGTCCCTGAGAAATTAAAAAATAACATTTACTACTTTAGCTCAAGTACTTCCCCCACCTTTGAAACCTATTTAGTTCTGGAATGATACCAAAACTTTTCAACAGTATCACATAGCAAGACACATCAGCCTAGGAGAGGAAAGGAACAACCAAGTGCAATGAACTGCAAGAGAATTTTAAAAGTCAAAATGTTCCTTTTGCCTGTTCCCAGTGGAATTTTACTACCAATGTATCCAGTCTGTAGATACAAAACTCCAGTATCTTACTCATAGTCAGAGATAACAACAACACAGTAGTCCTTTAGCAATACAGCTACACCATCAATGACACGAGCCCAGGACCACCTCACTTTTAGTTTTCCTGCAAGGAAACAATTCTGGTACCATGTATATGAAAACTGACCCATTTCAAGGCTTTGTTTTGTTTAAAGCAAATGCTACCCAGTACAGATAAATGTCAAATCTGATCAATTTCTTGTTAAACAAATATTGGTAATACAGCTTAAATACTTTCCCCTCCCCCATATTAAGCTTTACTGTGCTGTATTTATTTATCCTTTACTAGCAGTTTATATAAACTTTGTACTGAATAGTACAATAAAATCCTCTACAGAGAGGATGGAAGCACTTATCAAAGTCACAAATCATCTCATCAGCAGCCTGTTCTGTAACACAAAACTGAATGGCATGCACAAATCCAAGATCATGTCATGACTTCTTATACTCAAGCAGATCCACCCCGAGTAAGCCCAAATCCAATCCAACTCCAGAAATGTGGTTATTAAAAGCCTCTCTCACCTAACATGTCAAGAGCTATATTTTGCCAGCCTGTCAAACCAAATCCATTCAATCTCTTTCAGGTAACAGATGCTACTTAGGTGAAAAGGCAGGTAACTGTCTGAATGTACGCCTCTCAATTACAAAGAAACAGCAACAGGCAAAAGGGGACAAACACCACAACACAAAAACAAAACAAAATAAAAAAACACACAAAAAAACAACACACCACAACCTGCATGGTTGCACATTAGAAACCAGTGCCTGCCACGATCTTCCCTCCTTACACCCTCCTGCTCCTACAAATCTCCTGCCAGATAATGTAGAAGAGAGACAGTGGCAGCAAGGAGTGTTTTGGCACAGAAAAGAGTAATGTGCATTTACCAGGG